AAACCTTTATTCTATTTTTATAGCTTACAAAAAGGGTCCAAAGTCACCAGGTAAAGAATAATAATGATAAAAAAAACCCTCGTCTAACCAACCACTTTACCGACTAGCAAATTAATAGTCACATCAATAAACTTACTGACAACCAACCAACCCAGCTCAGCTCACCCAACCAACCAACCCAAGTCAGCTCACCCATCCAACCATACTTCCAACCAACCCAACCCAACTCAGCTCACCCAACCAACCATACTTCCAACCAACCCAACTTAGCTCACCCAACCAACCATTCTTCCACCCAACCCAACTCAGCTCACCCAACCAACCATACTTCCAACCCAACTCAGCTCACCCAACCAACCCAACTCAGCTCACCCAACCAACCATATATACTTCCAACCAACCAACCCTACCCAACTCAGCTTAACCAACCAACCATACTTCCAACAAACCAACAATGAACAAAACCCATTCAGCGAACGTTTCTAACTCAGAGATTTCAATTGCATGATAGTATGTGAAGCCACTGTGGATATCGGCTTTGCTGTGGAATCCTCGACCAGTCTTGGCCACGTGGGTCCCGGTAATTTGCGTCGTCTGATACATTTCGTTGGATTAATAGCACGCAAGTTTGAACTGTCAAAGAAACGAGCAAGAGTTGGTCTTGTGACCTATGCGACGAAACCGTACTTACTTTTTGGCATGACAGAGTAAGTTCTCGTCGCCCTTGTATATCTTTCGATGGCGACCTTTCSATTCGATATAGCTTTATAATCAAAGACGTASGTTTGCGTGAAGTTCACTAACTGTAGTTCTGTTTCAATTTCAAAGGCGAGTAGGAAAGATTGTCCAAGGTTTAAAGAAGGGACTGAGCAAGAAGTACAAGGATAAAAGCGCCAACACAGGCAAAGCTTTGAAATTTGCCCAAAAGATGCTATTCAAGAATAGTAGACGATTTAACAAAGTGCTTGTTGTAATCACCGATGGCAAGTATGRACATATACCGATTTACTGAAACAGTGTCACTTACCTTGAATGGGGGGGGGGGGGGGGGGGGTATCCGGTCTTTTTCAATCATTCCATGAGTACTGATAAGATCCTTTTTTATGCATTTTCTAGTCCCGCAGTAGGAGACTGACGTAGTTACGACTAAGATTAMCTCCCTCGACTTATATTTAATTTCCTGCAGATCAAATGACACTTTAACAGATGCTGYGCGATCTCTGAAAAAAGAGGGAGTTACGATTCTCTCTGTTGGAGTTGGTCGTTATTTTGATATTAAGCAACTGAATGAGATGTCTTCTCGGCCTGTACAGGAACATGTCTTTACTGGTGATTTTACTAAGTTAATTTACCTTAGAGATGAAATTACGAAAGCGATCTGCCACGGTAAGTTACCCTAAAGTAACAAGTGTATTTCAATAACTAATTGTATCAGTGCTATAGTTGTGTCAGCATTTTGTATCATTTCACCTGTGTGCGCGCAATCATGTCCTGATTGGGATCAGCATGCGGGCATCACTACCAATTCCCAGACCTGACTAGGACATAACCCAGTGTATTTTTCTATCATTTTGTCGCGACTTTTCCATATCGAGTACAATCATATTACATATTAATAAATGTTTTTGGTATTTCAGGTGTTGGAGGCATTCTTGTTTCACCCTATAAACGTCCTTGTCTGTGTAAAACCGGTTGACAAGGGAACCTTACACATCTTAACGATATATCTATAAAATAGTCAACATTTTGCCAAGAACCATACCTCTATTCATYGCGGAGAATGGGACAAAGATACCCTGAGATATGAATAAATATGAATGTGCTAAGCTCCTTCCGATTCACGACGTTACCGGATCTTTCATGGGTTAGAGAAGATTACATTAGGAACTTTTTTTTCTGAAAAAAATCAAGAGAATCCAAGAACAAAAACAAGACAATTACTTAAAAATTATTTATTACCAACAAAGTAGTGCTAGTGAACGACAATTGTACACTACACCTTTAAATATACATACATTACGTTATTCCACCCTAAAAATCTCTTTTATCTAAAAAATGACATCCAAATGAACACATCTTTTTAATACATAAATATAATATACCGAAACTACTTCGGACAGTAAAAATAGCTTAATTAAATAAACAATTGATAAACGCATCAATTACACGAGTCGTTTATCACTATCAAATGACTGTTGAGTGTTGATTATTTACAAATATTTGCTGAACTTAAAAGAATTGTTAACACAAACATTCGGTTAAGTGCTAAATACGTGTAATTCACACGTTGATGAAAACACGTTTAGTTTAATTCATATTTATTCTAGTAACGCCGTAGCGCATAATATTTCCACATTAGCATATTCCCATTATCATAWTTATCACTATGATCATAGTTAATAACTATTAACTATGCTATAATTTATTAATCCATGTGTGCCAGCACTGACAAAATWATTTTATAAATTCATAGAAATCCTCATTCAAGTATTTTACAAATTTAGGGYGCTTTTCATTTAGGCAGAACTGGCCAGCCAGTCCAATCTATTTAGAGGTATATAATGCTTTTTGTCAACATCATTCAGTCATTTTCGAGGTTTTCTGTAGAATAATGGATAGAATTTGAAAATTTGAATTTCCTAACTAAATGGGAATGATATATAATGACATTTTCTCTGGGTTTGCCCAGCCAGTTCTGACAAATGGAAAGCACACTTACAGAATATAGTCTATATATTAAAAGTTCTGATAATCATTCACAGAATAATCACACATAAGTGAGGACCGCTTACTAAATCCATAACTCATGGAGTTTTCGCAGAGAAGTATCAATGTGTATGGCCCGAGTAAGCGAGTTAATTATGACTTGCAATAATTCAAATAATTGATAGTTTCGTCTGTCCGCAGTACCATGAAGCATTACAAGGTACCACTTCAGGCGGACAAAGGAAACAGTTGCTTATCTCTTATCCTTCGCCGCATTTCGTCCAYTAACATTCCACGTTCCTTGAGGATTCCTTTGAGAAGACCTCTGTTCTCCATAGCTCGACGTGATAGATAYGGTAATACTTCCTCTACCGGACCATATGGCACATACTTGTACACCGAATACCCCTCCTTGCCTATGCAATCATATATCAAAAGATATTAAAACAAAACACTTGCTCTACGGGACCATACGGCACATACTTGTA